GACTCCTTGGGGTGCATATTTTATCTCAGACAGAGGCTCTGCCTTGGACTTCGGAGCCCGTGTCCCCCATCAGACATCCGGAACACAACATTGACAGTTCCTTGGTGGCCGCATAGCGCTCTGTCCACTGAGAACGCTTTGGAGAAGTAAAGGATCTGTTTTACAATTCTCGCTTGCCTTTGCCGGAGAGAAAACAAGAGCTGGGCTTTGTCTGGCTGGCAGTGCCGTCAGGTGCCCGGTCGCCCTTCCCATTACAGCGAGGGGAAGGGAAGGCCAGGGGACGCGCCCCCAAAGCCCCCTCCGGCTCCTCCGCGTGGGTGAATGTGCGCGTATCGGGAGGGCGAGCAGGGAGACCGTCTTATCATGGTCTTCGGTTTCCTGCAAATCCTTAGGGTTTTAAAACTGTGCCCGCGTGTGCTCGTGCGTCCGGCTGGCTCCTCGGGCTTCTGTCCTGCTGGGCACCCCTCTGCCGTCTTTCGGGGTGGGGGGGCTTGGGGATGGACCGTTCACTCATTATTAAGGGTGTTAGTGTTCAGAACAAAACTCTGTTCTCGTTCTGTCTCGCCCTCTCCGTGTATCCCCGGGGTGTCTGCAAGAGGAGCTTCTCCCCTCGTACTCTGATACAAGACATGCCGGTCTCCTGCCGGACGCTGCCCCCCAGACCTGGAAAGGGTCCTCCCGGGGGCCCTGGCCCCTCCGTGGGAAACGGCCCTTGGGTATCACAGTGTGGGTGCTGGCCTGAATTCATGTTGCCTTTTACTTTCGGATTTTAGGGCTTGCTTTAAAAATGTTCTAATTGGGGCCTCCCTGGTGGTGCAAGCGGTTAAGACTCAACCTATGAAGCTGTCCGCAGCCTCTGCAGCACAAGTTCAATCCTCGGCCAGGGAGCTACCCACAGGGCGCAGCAGACCTCTCCCGTCTCCCCGCTGCTCCCCTCCGCAGTGGATTTCAGTCAATCCTCCTGTTCCCCACTCTGTCTGTGGGGAATCCTCTCACCCCCCACACCTCTGGCCTGTACCCCGGCTCTTATATGCATAAATAAATAAATCTTTAAAAAAATAAAAATGATTATGATTAATCATAAATCTAATTTTATGATTATGTGAAATATTTGTGACTCCAGTGTTCATTATACAAAACAACACTCGAAGAAATCGACCGTCTAGCCCCGCACCCCCACCTTGTCCCTCCCTCTCCTGTGGGCAACCATCTTATCAAAAAATGGATGATTTATCCTCCACGGCTTGTTTTTAAAGCATTCCAGGGTGAGCGCCCGTCGTCACAGCCCCTCTCCCGCGCGCAACCGCTGGACGTGATGGCACGCCGGCCCGTTGCTCGTGTCCTATTTGCCCGTCTGTGGGTTCGCAGGGTGTTCTGCTGTGCGGGATATTTTGTTTGCCCCCCCGCCCCCGGGTGTAGATTTTGGAGTTAAGGGAGGGTCGTTGCTCCTGGTCGTCGCTTGTATTTCCTCTTTCTCGCTAGCCGGGCTCTCTCTCGCGGTTGGTCTCCTGCGAGGAGCCGCAGTGGAATAACCCACCATCCCTCACTCACCCGCGCCGTCTCCCGGCGTGGCGTCCTGTGCCGGCTCCCTGGGCAGATGGTCCACCTTCCCCGAGTGCCCCCCCGCTCTCTCCCCACCGAGCTGCACTTTCTTGCTTAGCCCAAACGGTCACTCCCTGCAGGCCTCTCCCCGGGGCCACCACTCGGTCCCGCTCCGGCTAAGGTCCTGTCTTGTCCTCAGCGCTGGCCTCTGGCCCTGGTGTGTCCCGGCAGGGGTTGCGAGGGTGCTGGGTCTGAAGTTGAGTCTCTCGTAGGCTCCCCAGCACGAGCTCAGGAGGTCTTCTTTCTTCACAGCACGTATTTCTGTTGAAAACCTGACGGCACTGTGATGTTCAGTGTAATTAGTTTGATATTTTGGTCAGAGGAGCCTTTCTCCCTTTATACCGGACTCACATCAGTGACTATCATCCTGGGTCCTCCCACGTGGATTTCCCCCCTTGATACTTGCTTTTATTGTGGCAAAAAAGACATGACGCTGAGCTTAGCATCTTCGCCTCCGTTGAGGCTACAGCTCAGTGATGTTAAGGCCTCTAGACTTTTTTCTTCCTGCAAAACTGGACTCTGCTTGTTCAACCCCAGCCCCCCTCCCGCCCGCCCAGACCTCCTGTCTGACGTCTGTGTCGGGGCGTCTGTGTGTGTGTAGCGTGTCCGCCTGTCTCCCAGCTTTGTGGAGATGATGGACGTGTGAACTGTCTGTGCCAGACCTCAGATGTGCCTCCCCACAGTCCACAAAGAATCCTAAATATACGTCTTGGCTAAGAAATCATAGCTAAGTAATAATGGGAAACTCGCAGCTTATCTGCTCATCATATATTTTTTTCCTTAGTAAATAGGCCAAGAAGTACTTTGGTAGGTTCTTTTCCCCACCATGTCTGATTCTAGAGCGCTGTTCATGCTAAAAAGTGAACTATCCACAAGTGGCCCAGAGGCATTTTTCCAGGAAGCGTGAGTGTCCCTGTTGGGCGCTGCTGCCTGCTGAGGTGGCCGTGGTAGCTGGCCCACTGGTCCCTCTGGACACCTGGGCGAGTGGACAGTCACCGGGGCTGCGGCGGCCGATGTGCTCTGTGTGGGGCAGTTATGAGCTGGATCCATTTCCAAGACAGGAAAAGGCAAAATTGTGGTTGTCTGAAATTTATTTTTTCCCTTTTAACTGATTTATGTTTTGTGTGTACTGAGGAGACCAGCTTTTTAAAGGAACTGACACCCATTCACTACAGAAATGAAAAATCACTCACTTTTCATCTGTGAATTATTGCTCCTAATTTTAGATCTTTGTGGATTGGCGCTTTTGATTGCACTTGCAAGGCGGAACTGCAGCGAGCTCTGCACCGCTGCTGGTGTTTGGTAGTAGGATGGCAAGGAATAAAAGCCATTCCCAGTAGATCTCTGTCCCCTTCTCGAGCCCAGCAGTCCCCAGGTCACTTTTGAGGACCAGGCTGACTGTGGGTGTCACTGTCCCCACCTGCCCCGGGTGCAGCTGCAGAGAGCACCCTGCTTCTCCCCACCTGCTCCTCAGTCACGGTTTGGGCATCCATCCGTGTAAAATCTTCAGCTTCTCATTTCTCCTAACGTGTGATAAAAAGCTCATTTTGGATGTGCAGAAAACATATTTTACTGCGCTTCAGCAGGGAGTGCCTTAAGTCCTTTGAGATGGCTGCTGCTGCTCAGGCACCCCTCTCTGCAGATCGTGTACCCAGGGAAGGGGCCAGCGAGCAAGACACGAGTCACCACTGCCCGCTGGTCGGCCGAGCGGCCCGTGTGCTGCGGCGCTGGCAGCCTCGCGGCTCCTCACGGCTGTTACTCTCACACAGTGTTCCCGTGATTGCTGTTTAATTACAGCCTTGCCTCACTTTGTGGTGAGTGATTTTATCACCTTATTTTGTGTCTCTAGACTAAGGCTCCTTGTGTGGAAAACCCAAAAGCGAATGTTTGGTTCAGTTGTGCTGGGAGAGTTTTCTGTCCTGTCTTCCTTCCTTGGGCCGGACCTCATTTTTACGAGTGTACTGTAAATCTGCAACAAGAATGGGAACTGGGGGACCTTCCTGGTGGTGAAGGGATTAAAGTCTCAGTGCTGTCAAGCTGTCGCCAGCCACTGCAGCATGAGTTCCATCCCCACCCAGGGAGCTACCCACATGACGTGCAGACCTCTCCTGTCTTGCCCGCTGCTCCCCTCAGCAGTGGATTTCAGTCCGTCTGCCTGTTCTGCTCCCCACTCTGTCTCTGATGAATCCTCTCACCTTCTGCACCTCTGATCTGTACCCCAGGTCCTGTATGCTTAAATAAATAAAAATAATGGGAACTGGTTTGGGGTGTCTTCACCCCAGCTCCGTATCACATAAACCTTGCACTGCCATGTTGCGGATTCTCTGAGTTAACCCAGAAATAGGGGAGCTGAGACGCCCCAGCTCGGCCTTGCCTTCCCTGAGGGTGAGATCACGGATGTTTGGGTAAAGAGGCATCCGATTAACCATCCAAGTGGGGAGTCTCCCCGATGGGCTTCTCGGTGTCCTCTAAGCCTCCCCTGGTGACTTTGGGACCATTGCGGGCTGGCTCGGTGCCTGGGTCTGCAGGCGGAGGCGGGGAGTTGGACCCCTGACTGCTGGGTGCATCTAGTGGGGGTCGGACAAGCCCCTGCCTCCTGGCTGTGGGGGGGGCGGGGCAAGGAGTCCTGCCACTCCTGACACCGCAGCCTTGGCCACTAGCTCTGCGAGTGAATTTGAGACAGGGTGTGTGTGTGTGCGCGCACATGCATGTGTGTACCCCTCTTTCATTGCACTCAACGGTAGTGCTGCTGAACTCCATGACCCGCGGGGACTGGTGGTGAGCACAGGCGCCATGTGTTATTTACATTCCCGTTTTCCTGCGAGCCAAGTGAGGGTGATGGGTGTGGCACTGAGCGGTACTAAGACTTCTGAGTGAGGATGTAGGCTGGATGATGAGGATCTAGGCAAAGAAAGGCGTGTGCATGCATGTGTGCGCACCCAGTGTATATGTATGTGCCCGGTGCAGACATATGTGTGCATGCATGTGCATGTGGACACGTGTGGCATGTGCATGTGTGTGTGCACACTGATACCTGCAGTGCAGATTCCTGAGCACACTGTGGACAGAGACCAACTCTTTCAAGTTTCGGGGCAAACCGGGACAACACACATCTCTGTGCACAGAAGCGTGTGGAACCCCTGGGCCTGCGGCTGGTGGTGCAGCGGAGGCCAGCTCCCGGCTCCCACTAGAACTGTCAAAAGGAAAGTGCTGTCTAGCTCACGTCTGGGGGCCTGGGTGTCCCCGCGGTGATTCTGCCTATTCCGCGCCGTTGTCCGGAGTCAAGAGAAGCCAACGGCCTGGGGGAGGACGTGCTGGGTTGTTGGAACGGCTGGCGCTGCTTAGCGTCGTCTCCTGACTTGGGTTAATTTGTGTGATTTTTCTGTCTCCTTCTCTAGGCAGCTATTTTGCCAGCCACTTCATTATGGGAGGAGAGAAGTTTGACTCCACGCACCCCGAAGGGTACCTGTTTGGAGAGAACAGCGACCTGAACTTCCTGGGGAGCAGGCCAGTGACGGTATGGTTCCCAGTGGGCGGCGCAGCCCCTTCAGACAGTCCTAGGAAAATGAGATTGTTGCCGCTGGTTCAGCGGTGTCGGAGCTGAGTTGAGAGGGCCCCGGGAGCCTGGCGGCGCCCCTTTGGTGGAGCTGCCCACAGGAAGGCTCAGGAAAGGGGGCCCTGCCTGCCCTCTCCAGCCTGCACGCTGTCACCTCCCACACAGAAGCTTTTATTTCTTCCTCTCTTCCTCTGTTTATCGTCCGCCTTCCCCTTCACAGTGCAATTTCCCAGGGCAAAGACTGTGTGGCTGCTGCATCCCAGCATCTAGAGCAAAGCCTGCTGGGAGTGACAAGCCCATAACAAGATCAGTTGAATGATGACTGGAAAGTGTCCTTGGAGCGGAGCAGATAGCCGACTCTGTCTCGGTTCATTCAGCTCGTTCCTTAGATTCTTCTGGAACTTCTCTGCCCCCAGCCTGAGACTCTGTGGCGGTATCGGCCAGGCGGCTGGGGGGACTGCTGTGCGCTAAGGAAGGTCCTAGAGAATTTTCAGTTATTCTGGTCTCCATGCAGACGCCTGACAGAGGGTTTATTGTTAGTCCAATTTGTAAGTGAGGGCGCTGAGGCCACAGGGCAGTCCCTGCAGGTGCATTCCCACATGGCACGCGTCCCGGGCGCCGTTCTGAGTGCTTTGTGCAAACATTTCCCAGCGTCACATAACTAGATCTGCCTGGCCGCGGTCAGTGGCCTTTCCACGGCTTCTCTTGGCTTCGAGGTCTCCTGCCTGCCTCCAGAAGCTCCCAGGTGAGTGGAGCAGACAGAACGGAGGACCAGGACGCGTGGAGGGGAGATGGCGGCAGGGGCAGAGCCCGCAGAGGAGAAAAGGAGGGGCGAGCCGTGCTGGTGTTGAGGGGCAGCGTGGGGCCGGCCCTGAATCGAGGCTGAGGGGCGAGGGCCTTGCCAGGAGCCCGCCCAGAGTGCCGGCCCAGGAGGCCTCCTGGGTCTCGGATCGTGACACCGAGTGCCAGGCGCTGTGCTGGGAGGGGGTCGGCGCCTCCCTGGCGCAAACCCGGAAGCCGGGTCAGAGGGCGTTTCCTGATGGCAAAACAAGGCGGAAAGGCAGGCGGGCCGCCCCCCTCCAGAGGTTTTTGACTCATGTAGGTTAGGGGGGATAGTTAAGATTGTAGGCAGATAAAGGACCTGGAGTCATACTTGTTTGTTTTTTTATTTTGAAGGAAGATGAGCCTGGTGACTGTCTTCCATTCTGAGCTTGAATTTAAAAATGGTATTTTGTTGTTGGTTTCCTCCTCCTGTCTGGAGTGAGTTCTGCTTCTGAGTCCAGCAGCTCTTTTCAAAACGCCAGGTCCTTAACCCTTCACGGTGCAGATCCCAGCTCATCGGCCAGTGTCCGCCTCTCATCTGGCTGCTGCTCCTCGGCAGCGGGAGCAGAAAGACCTTCTTTCCTCCCAGAGCCACGTTTCCCTCCCGCAGCAGCTTGCGGTGGAATCAGCCCTCCTGGCAGGGACTTGCCACCGTCCCGTCTCCTCTCTCTCTCTCTCCTCCGTGACAGCCACTATAGTTTAGATGTTTTCAATGTTTTTGCCTCTTTAGGCCAGAAAGATGCTTTTAAAGCCGAGAACGGCCTCTCCGGGCTCATGGGAGCGCTCTCTGACGGGGCGGGCTTCCCAGGTTTAATTGCCTTGTTTACGTTTCTCCCGGCCTGCAAGCTCCCAAGCTCTTCCTGAGGCCTTGACCTCGAGTGGGAGGCCTTTCCCCAAAGGAACATCAGCCTTGGACTTGGGGTCACTGTTTGCGGGTCGTGGGCACCAAGCACACTCAACGGCGCGGAGGTTCTCAGAAGATATAGTCTCCCCATGTCCAAGAGCAAACCAGGGCGACTTCAAGCAGGTGGTGCGGTGCCAGGACCAGCGGGGGTGCCCCCTCCCTCCCTCCTGGCCCCCTGACTTGGCTCACTGGCCTCGGGCCCTGGGGCTGGTTTTCCTCGACAGGTGAGCAGACCAAGGCCAGGAGTTGAAGCAAAGGCTCCTGTGTGACTGACTCGGGGTTTGAACCTGGTGGTGCAGCTGCGGGACCCGGCCTCCCTCCCCGCTGCCAGCTCAGGGTCCCATGCCCCCACCGTGGGCCTGTCTGGGCGGGTCACCCGGTGCAGCGTGTGAGCCGTGCACAGGGATCCGGAGGTGACCGTGGTGGTGATGCGTCCCCCGCAGGGGCTCCGAGGCTTCTCTCGGTGTGTAATTCCATCGCCGGCCTGAGCTCTGGCCGTGGCCGCCACTGCCCACGGTGCCTGTTTGGGGCAGGCCAGTGATGAAGGCTGACTTGACGCTCGGCCCACGGAGCCTCGACTCCCCAGGGACGCGGCGCCGGCTCGGGTGACAGTCTGGGCATCAGGTGGCAGAGGAAGGGAACAGCCTTTTAAAAAGAGCTCTGGGGCGAGCAGATCCCTTTTCCCCAGAGAGTGGAGACGGGGCGAGGCGCGTTGAAATACGTTGTATGAAATAGCGATGCCGTCGACTTCCTGGCTGCTGGGACTTGCGGTTTCTCCTGCCCTCTCTGAATGATCAGACTCCCTGGTGTCACTGGCCTAAGTTGGTGCCCAGGGGCCTGCTGCCAGCCGGGTAAACTTGGTCCTTCGAAGCCAAGTTTACTAGCAAGTCTTCAGAGTCAGATTTAAAAGACTAGATTGTATGTATCTGTAAATGATGCTTAAAGAGAGGCTGGAATCAAGTTTTATTTGCATCTTTGCTGTTACGCTCTGAACTCTGCCAGGCTCTCACTCGGCTCAGCTCGCGAGTGACCACTGTCAGGCGGGGGGTTCAGTGTTAGGTTGGGCAGGTTGCCATGGGCCCACCAGGTGGGGCAGGGGCCAGGTAAACTGCCTGTGCTGATCTTGCAGCTTGTATATTTCTGCAGACACCGGGAGTTCTAGGTAGAGAGAGTAGACACTAGTTTTGTTGTTGTTGTTTTTAAAGATTTATTTATTTATACAAGAATGGGGGTACAGGCCAGAGGCCTGGGAGGGTGAGAGAAATCACCAGAGACAGAGCAGGGAGCAGAACAGGCGGACGGATGGAAGCACTGCTGAGGGGAGCAGCAGGCGCAACAGGAGAGGTCTGCCGCGCCATGTGGGAATCTCCCCGGCCAGCTGGGATTGAAACTGCACTGCAGAGGCTGCGGACAGCTTCACAGCGCTGCACTCAACTCGCTGTGCCACTGGGGAGGCCCAGCACCGATTTTTAAGTCTCTCCTAAAAGTGAAAGGATCTGAAGCTCTTCTGCTCCTGTCTGTGGGCAGGGCTAAGGCCATTGCGTGCTGAATCAGCAAGGAGGAACGATAGAGAACTGCTCCCCTTCCTGGCCAGGGAGAGCTGATGCTGAGCTTTGCTCCTTTTTTGAGCAACTTAAGTTGTTCCAAGGACCTTGGGACTTTCAGAGGATGGGCTATACCTGGACTCCACCCGATGCCAGTCCTCTCCCCTTGGAGGGAAGGCATTGTCAGGTCTTGGTCCCGTCCCGTGAGGCTGGGCAGGTGACCCGCCACTGGCTCTTTCCGTCGCGGGCTTGAGCCCAGTGACAGCGGCCCTGCAGCCCAGGGGCCCATGGCTTGCCACTACTCCTCCCCAGAGATGTGAGCCCCGCGGTTCTGCTTCAGTGTGGTTTCTATATGTGGAATCCTGTTATTCACAGGCCTGGAGGAGAGAGAGTTCTAGAAAGGCACTCGTGGTATTTCCGTCTGTGAGGTAGAGTCTTGTGCACACAGAGCTCAGGGCCAGCCATGGTGCCGTTCCCCCCTCACGGGACGTTTGTGAGTCATACGTTCTGCCAGCAAAAGTGGGAGAGACTTGGGCCAGCCTGAGGAGCCTGCATGAGGTTTGGGGTGAGGGGAGCAGGTGGCCCATGGCTCCCCCCGCCCCGGCTGAACTGTGCTACCTTCCTTGGGGAGACCAGCCAGAGCCCTCTGCCACCTGAGGGAACAGGAACCAGAGGGGCAGGCAGGGTCCTCTGGGGGCATCCAGCCACTGAAGGCAGACTCACGGCTACAGGAGGAGGCACCAAGGTGCACCCCGGGCTCCCCAGCCTGCAGTGGCTCATCCTGAGGGCTGTCGGGAGGGGAGGCCGGGGTGACAGTTGGGCCTGTCTGAGGGGCCGTGAACACTGCTGAGTTCACGTCTCTGTGGACAGCAGCAGAGGGGTCAGGGCCGGGCAGCTTTGCCCGGATTGGTTTGTGGTGTTGGGCAAGTGTTGGCTGCCCTGGAGCCTGCTTCACCATCTGTGAACACACCCATCAGTCGGTCAGACACGATGGTGAACGTGCGAAAAATACTTCTCTTGCAGAAATACTTTAAAGATTCAAAAGACGACAACTATTATGGTGGTAAAGTTAACTCTTCAAACACCTACCGGTGTGGAGTGAGTCAGGGGAAGAGACAGGAGACCAGTCCTGACGTAGTTTACGTTAGGTGAGAAAACGCAACATGCTGAGCTGGCCTGGAGCTTCGGCAGGCGAACATGTGGGCCTGGGCTGGGAGGGGGGCCGTGCGAGTCGAGGGAGAGAATCTCGCAGGCGGATCCCCGGAGGGGCAGGCGGCCCCCCAGACGAGCCTGCGGGCCGTGTGTGGCCTGGCCTCCCAGCAAGGGGCAGGCAGCCTCGGGGCCAGCGCTGCCCGCGCCTCAGAAACTGCCTTCACCTGCTCAGGCTCCGCAGCGAACACACAGGCCAGGCCCTCAGCCGCAGGCAGTGGTGTCTCCCCGTCTGGAGTCCAGGCCCGGCGGCAGACTCGGTGCCTGGGGAGGCCCCTCCTGACTTGCCGACACCGCTACCCTCGGCTCGTCCTGGCCTGGAGAGTGATCACTCTTGCTCCTCTGAGGGACCCCACCTGAGGGACTCACCCAAATTACCTCATCTAACCCTATGACCTCCCCCATGCCCCATCTCCCGTCAGCCTGAGGAGGGGAGGTCTAGGGCCGCTGCATGTCCAGGGGTGGGGGTCACAACTGAGGCT